GGATAGGAGACGAGCCAAACCTAGGAGAAAAATTGGAAGCATTAACATAATATCTATAGTTCTATATCTCCAAGAAATAGTCATGTTACTCCGCTGTTAGAACAAGAACAAGCCTATAGCACCTTAAAGATTAACAAATGTGTTTATATCATGAGTGTTCATACATTATAGCCCATTTCTTCAGATGCATCAATTATTGTTACCAGGATTTCAGGCACATTTACATTATACCAGAGTGCTGAACATTTTTACAAGTGTCCTGTCTGCCACAACAACAAGGCAAGACAGTGTGCCAAGGATTGTTCCAGCCCAAGAAGACATCTTGTTTCCGGTACAAGACTGAGACAAGCGTTCTTTTTTATTTTGTTTGCATTTTGTGCAATTTGTGCTATACTTTTGTGAAGCTAAGAATGTGTGCATGCATGTATGCATGTGCACATACAGAGGGTGCACAAAAGACAGCCTGACTGCTGAGATTCAAAAGAATTCATTCACTTACATCCACTTACTCTACTTTGCCACAGATAAATTATTAACCAAAGTAATTTCTTTCTCTTCCATTTTCTTTGCTTAAGTGTTTATTTCCATCCTCTATGTTGGTCTAAACACATTTTTGATTGATAAAAAAGAGTTCAGTGCTGAAATGTTTTTGCCACTCTCTCCATCCTTGACCAATGCTCATTGATTCTTTCCTGAAATCACAATGATGACACTTTGCTGAATTTATGTTGTGACCACATTGGCAAAAAATGCTGGAAATGGTATGGGTTTGGGATGGGCTGTTTCACATCTGTTTCCACATGGCAGAAAAGCAAATGTGAATCTGCCCCAAGTTTATAATACTATTTCTTTTCTTTTCAAACAGATTGGAGTCAGTGCTAGTCATCAAAAGAGAGGGAAAAAAAACAGAATAGGGAAGAAAATGAGAAGAGGAATTTGCGATGTGACCTTTGTTTACATCTTATTATGTACTTCCCCTATAGCTATGCCTCCTGCAGGACGACCAAAGAGCTACGTTAACAAGCTATATCGACAAGCTGCAAATGTGCCTGTCAGTCAATTTCCTCCTCTCTCCCTATGTAACCAGACTTGGGGAAAAAAACACATTCTCCAGTGTGACTTAACAGTGAGTATATTTGCATTTATCTCGCTGTGTAGTTGCTCTTAAAACCTGGAGTTGTGCCAGAGCCTCATTCGTCTTTCTTCCCAAAGCGTCCAGTTCTAGGCTTAGTTCTAACCTTCGACTCACAAGATAGCATTTTCAAGGCTGCTTTTCCACAAGAGGCACATGAGTTTCTTTCAGGCCCAGCACTGTTCTCTTGACAGTCTTACTAGGACCCCTGGCAAGGTATTATTCAGTCACTTTTTTTATCTTCTGAAGGTTTTTCCCCTGCAGATTGTAGTTTCCATTTCTTGTACCCATTTTCTTCTTTTCTGGGGGAGTATGAAGAGGTTTTTCTTTTACCTTGTGCTCTGCTTCTGGTTAAAAATTCAGTGACTTAAATGCAACTCTTTTTTGGCAAACCCATGTAAATTATTGCACTCAGGCTCCCTTCCCTTCCCTTCCCTTCCCTTTGTCTTATTTCCCACTACTTTCTCCTGCCTATCAAGAGTGTTTGATAAGATAGAAATTGTACCATGGTGCACATCTGGAACAAAGGAATGATGGGCCAAACTATATGATACAGACAATTTGTGATTAGAAGAGGGAATGCCTTACATGCTGGGAACATATGATTGCCACAGTAGGACCATTTTAACACATCTCTTAGCTTGCAAATTAGTATGCTTTTTTGTAACGAATATGGGCTTCATTTGCAAATATGATTGCCCAATTACTAAAGTCTGCCTGAAACATGGTCTCAGGAATCTTCGTGGTTCCCCAGCTCTCACTGCTGTAGTACAGTCCAAAGGGTGCTAGAAGTTGCTATGTAAGTTGCCAACAATTTTTTGTTTGTTAGTGTGAGCATAAAGAATGTAGTAACTTCAATTGTTCTAACCACCTTTTTCTTCACACTAAGCAGGCATAAAGGGGAGTTGTTTTGTCCATGCATAGAGATAAAACCTTCAGAACACGGCCAAACAGCCCAAAAAACCTACAACAACCATTGGATCCCGGCCGTGAAAGCCTTTGAGAATACATTGCAGAATTATTTTCTACAGTAGAACTCATATCTCATCCTCTTCCCCATCTTTCATTTTTTCTTTCTCAGAAGACTTAGAATATGTATTGGCTTAATACACCAGTAGCTCTTGAGCAGCCATACGTAACCCCTGTAGGCCAAGATACCACAAGATTATTTTAAGGCACAGAAGAGGCTGTATTTCCTGAGAATGCTTGGTAAGTTAAATTTATCTCAGCATCTACTTCTGTCCTACTATCATAGCACCATTGAGAGTGTCCTAACCTATGGCATTCTGGCATGGTTTGGGAGTAGCTCTGTAGCGGACAAAAATGCTCTACAGAGAACCATTAAAATTGCCCAGAATATCATCAGGCTCCAGCTATCAACCCTGGATGACATCTTATCCCACTGTCTGAGGAAGTCACACAACATCCTTAGAGACTTTTCCCATCCTGCTTACAACTTTTTTGAACTGTTGCCATTTGGTAGAAGATATTAACAATTAAGACTTGGACCACACGTTTTCTGAATATTTTTTATCCCAGAGCTATAATTGCACTTAATAATGAGCTTAAAGACCACCAGTAGTGAATAGTTGGACAGTGTTGCTTGGCCTGTGGTGTAGATGTTTACGTATATTCTTAGTGGGGGATTTTAGTGGGTGGGGAGTGTTTGAGGATTTTTATGTGTGTGCATGTGGTCTCTGGCTGTCTGTGTGAATTTCGTTGTATGGGTATAATGTGTATATACTTACAATGATAATAAATTTATTTGATTTGATTTATGTGCCTGAACAGGGCACTCATTTATGGCATTGTGCAGACAAGACTCCTTACTAGCAAGTTCATGATCTCATAGAAAGACAGAAAAGGAAAAGAAATATGGAGGGAAGAGAAAAACAAGTATTGTATTGGAACAGCCCCTCCTTTTCTTATCAACAGAACCAAATTGCTCTCTCCCTAGCACAAAGTTCTTCCTGGGAGGTGGAAGATCCAGTTTAAAATGGCATTTGGTCTTCTGACAGGAGGCAGAGACCAGAGTGCTGCTTCAGGGTGTCAAGTGTCTTGAACTGGCAGCTTCTGGGAGTTTCTCTCCTTGCTCTATCAGATGGGTAAGGGTGGTAGATCGTGCCCTTTTGGGAGCTGTTGTCTCAAGGTAGCTTCAGCATGCTGAAGTGGCTTCTTCTAATGGAGCAGACTTCCATTCCACAAAGAGAAGTAGCTGGCTGGCCACTGGTTTGTAATGGGTAATGCAAAGAAGACAGAAAAGAGCAAGTTGTATGTGTGTGAATTGTTGAGTAATGGTGATTGTGGTGAATTTAACTGTGTCTCAAGCCACTTGTTCCCTATGGTTGATGAAAGATTTAAATTTAGTCTTTCCCACAGAACCTAACGCCTGAAATGTTGCTTTTTGCATAATGCTTTGTTATGGCTGTTATAACCCTCCCCAAGCATAAACCCGCCTCAAACTTGCAACTGTATGCAATACTCCAGGTGTGGCCTTACCAGTGTTTTGTACAATGGCATTATAATGTTGACCATTTTATTTTTATTCCCCTTTTTGATGATACCTCGGATGGAATTGGCCTTTTTTACTGCCACCATATACTGGGTCGATACTTTCATCAAGCTGTCCACCAACACACCAAGATCTCTTTCCTGATCCATCATGGACAGCTCAGAACTAGAGATGGGGTTATTTGTATTTTTATAGGAATACGAATGCCCCCCCACAGTTGGACTCCACTGACATGTCTGGCAGCACTGGTGGCCCTTCTCTTCCTAGCCACTCCTGGCAATGGGAGGGAGGACAAGTCTCACTGCAAGGCTGCTAGCTGAGCGGGGCTCTGGGAGTGATTGGAAGGAAGAGAGGGGCCACCACTGGTTGTGTGAGTGGACAATCTGGCCTTGGGGACTGGACCCTCATTAAATCCAGCTGTGGACTTCCCATCTCTACTCAGAACCCATTAGCTGATAACGTTTTGATTTTCTGCCCCAATGTGCATTACTTTACATTTTCTTATATTGAGACGCGTTTGCCATTTTTCTGCCCATTCTCCCAGTTTGGAGAGATCCTTCTGGAGCTCTTCACAATCCCTTCTGGTCTTCACCACCCAGAAAAGTTTTGTGCCATTCACAAACTTGGCCACATCACTGCTTATCCCTATCTCCAGGTCATTTATGAACAGTCTGAAAAGCACTGGTCCCAGGACAGATCTCTGGGGCACACTGCTTTTCACCCCTCTACATTGCAAAAATTGCCCATTGACACCTACTCTCTATTTCCTGGCTCTCAACCAATTTTCAATCCATAAGAGGACCTGCCCTCTTATCCCGACTGTGGAGTTTATTCAGCACCCTTTGGTGAGGGACCACGTCAAACGCCTTCTGAAAATCCAGATAGATACTATCCATTGGTTCGCCCACATCCACATGCCTGTTGACCTTTTCAAAGAATTCTAAAAGGTTTGTGAGGTAAGACTTATCCTTACAGAAGCCATGCTGATTTTCCCTCAGCAAGGCTTGTTCTTCTGTTTTATCTTGAACAAGTCTTTCCACCATCTTCCCTGGAACAGATGTTAAGCTAACCAGGATGTAGTTTCCCGGGGTCCCCCTCCTTCCTTTTTTAAAGGTTGGAGTGACATATGCTATCCTCCAATCATCTGTGAGCAGTACAAAGACCTGGCTGAAGACACCTAGATCCCCACCTCATTTAGCTATCCACACTAATGTTGTGTAGTGGAGTGACACACTAGAACTCAGGAGCCCTGGATTTGATTCCCACTGACCCACGGATACAAACGGGAGATGAAAAACTCTTAAAACCACTCCTTAAATATCTCACCTTGAACTTAATGGCACATAAGAACCGCCTCCTAAACCTTTATTATGCCATCTCAAAGGTCAAAAAATATCCTTGAGGGTTTACTGTAAATCACTCAAATGTAACAGATCTTAATCCGCTTTATCTTTCCCCACTCCAGTGCGTCTAGTGGGTCAACCTGTTAATCTTAAAACCACCAGCCAATCTGATTCTGTTGACTGTGCAAAAAACGTCGATAGGGGGCACTGTGGGACATCCAGCCACATGCTTTCATTCTGTATCTCTATGGGGCGCGTTCTTTTCGGTCCCATGCAGATAGAAAACTATAGAGCACAAAAACCTCTTAATTTTCTGTTTTGTTTGGATTGATTTCGTGGCAGATACAGAGCGTGTCTATGTAGAGGTGAATGGCGGGGAAGACGAGAGCTTCTGGAAGTTAATTTTTGGACCATTCAGAATCCCCTAGGCAGCATAGACACTTCGGGGAGTCCAGTCGAAACACTAACTTCTGTTAAGCTCTGCACACCGCGGTTCCTTTAGTTGAGGTGTAGGCTTTGAGTCAGTGGATCTAGGCGACAGCTGGAATGACTCCACCTGCAATATGCTACACGGTAGGAATCTCTCCCAGCGTCAGCATGATAGTTTATTAATAATATCGGGCGTTTCTGTTTTTCAGAGGATGAGTCCACTTGTAGTATCTTCATCCTTTACACAGCCTTCTGTTTCTACCTCACGTTATTGTCTGCATCCCAATAGCATGTATATTGCTGCCGTGGAGACTTGTATCTATGGAGTTACACTTGGAGAAAGTGACCGCGACAGGTTCTTCAAGCCAGTTGTTTCCAGACTTGGACATGCATGTAATATGCCGCGATCTCCTGCTGTAGCATCACACCGCCCTCCCCAGTCATAGGGAAATTATAACGCTGGACTCCCCTCTGCGCGTTTGGCCAAACTCTTGTCCCGGGCAATCTAATGATGAGAGAGATACGTCGGAAAGACCATGACATGCTTTCCCCCTATCACGGCGTCTCCCCCTCTGTAGAAGTGCTGTTGGGAAAGAGCCACGCTATGACGGAGCAGGAAGGCTTCCACCGGAAGCCCGAAGAAAATGGCGACGGAAGTAAACCGGAAGTTCCGAGGCGGCTAAAAAACAAGAGAGTTTGCCTGGCAGCGAAGAGTGTCCCTACCACTGCGGCTGCGCGGAAGTGAGGGCCGGTTGTTTTTCGAAGGGGTTACCGCACCAGGGTTGAAATTCGGAGGCGAGTCGAGGGTCGGCGGGGAAGGTTGGCTCTTGCGGTCGTCGGGACGGGGCGTCCTTCTCCCTCGCCTTTTGCCCGTCGGAAAAGACGACATGGACATTCTGAAGGCGGAAATCGAGCGGAAACGAAAGCTGCTGGAGGAGAAAGAGTTGTTGGCGGTAAGGGGGGCAGGCAGAGGGGACCCCTTTCCGTCGTTTCTCCTGAATTTCTGCTTCTTGTGTCGTTGCTGAAAGGTTGTGATGCGCGGAGGGGGGGGGGCGTGGACATCCCTGGAAGAAATGGAAATAAGTTATCTGTGCACCAATAAAAGGGATTTATCTTTTGTAAATCGCCCTTTGAAAGGCTGTCTTCATTCACCGTCCCCCTTGCCCTAACTTTTCTTTCAGCCTTAACCCCGATGATAAGGTTGGTTTTTAAATGCCGTATGTGCGCATGTTGGTGAGGAAAAACTGGAGGTGTATAAAATCATTATTTCTATTGATATTTTAGGAGAGCCCAGAAACGTTTGAATTGTTCATCTGTTTTTCAGGGGAAATTGTTATTAATCGCGATACGATAAACAGAAATTCAGGAAGCATACCTTTGTGCCACAGAAATTCAGTTTTGACAGGAACTGAATATTTCTTGCTACCATCCTGTTAAGAGGACTAAAGCCTTGGTGGAATAAAATGGCAATTCTAGCATTTTCTAAGAATCGATACTTAGTTGATGACTGTACTGTCATGTTATTATTCTAAGACCGATCTTCATTGAAGGAGTTTTGTGGGACAAGATACATTGCAGTGGATTTTATGCTGCTGTTATGAAAATGATGTTTGGGTTTTGCTGTCCGCAACTAACAAAGTTCAGTTTTGAACCTGATGTAGTAAAAGAGCTTCATTTGCCTTTTCTTTTATTGGGCTTAATTAGTAAATCCACTCTATTCCAGGTTTCAGTGAATTTCTGCAGAAAAGGGGGAAAAGAAGGTAACACATATTGCAAATCCAGAATAATTCTAGAAGTAATGGAATCTTAAAATCATACGCTTTTTCTCCAGCAGCCTGTGTTAGGATTTGTTTGACTGCAAACAAAATCTCAGATACATATATATAAAAGGCATGGAATAAGTCAATAAAAATGCGACCAGTATTTTGCTAATTTTTGTCCTTGGAATATTAAATAAAATATATTTAATAGATGACATCTGATCGTAATGAACATGTAGGATATGTGTCTTTGCTAGTCATGGTTATCTTTCCATAAACAATTGTGTCTAACTGTATTTAAAATGTACTGTACATATTCAAAACATCACCTATTTTCCCAAAGTTATCTGTTGTTGACAGATGCATGCACAGAATCATGTTAATTGTGTTCCTGTTTATAGAACTCAGCTTCAAAAGAACTGAATACCAAATGGGTTATAAATATTGTGAGATGTGAAATGCAACCAAACCTCACTGTCTCTTAGTGAATGTTTTGCCATGTAATCTGTATGTTCTGTTTATATGTCTGAAGAAGTGGACAATGTTCCAGAAAAACTTCTGTTAAAATATAATAGTCTTTAAAATGCCATAAAGTCTTTTTAACTTTTGTTTTGTTTCTTGTGGAAATACACAAAAATAACTAACCATTTAGTACATATGGAAGCACCCTTTTTGAAGCACACATATTAGCACATGAGAATGGCAGTTTATTATATTTTTATCGTACTACTTGGGATATGGCATTGACCAATTGGAAACCTAACACTCCAAATATTATTTCCTTCATATTACTGAAAGATGAATGTGAAGTGTTAATGAAACCGCATAACATAGTACCTGCTTTTATGTCTTTTAGGGCAATAAAAAATATTTTAAGCGTGGTGATTTGGCTAAGAAGGAAGAAGAGGCATATTTCCAGAGATGTGGCTACAAGGTAATGTGATAGTGTTCCTGTTAGCCATTCTGCTTAGTAGTGCATTGAGTTGTCTTATTTGAATCTATTTAAAAGTATACAGTATGAATAATAATTCTTTGTTCGCTCTATCACTGTTGCACTTTAGCCTGTAAGTGAGAAGCCAGCAGGAGAGGTATGAGTTTCCAAACAAACTTTGCAATAGAGAAAGAGGCATGCATGAATATGCAGCTACTTGAATCTGTGTTTATAGTTTGGCTTCTTTTGTGGAGGGCATGAGGCTGCTTGAGAATAAATCTGCTCTCTTTTTTTTATGTTGTGCTCCAGCAGGCATGTACACAGTACTACATATGTGATACCACTTCCCCCACTCCAAAACAATACCTGAGGCTGCTGTTCTCTAGGAGCAGTGGTTCCCAACCTTGGGCAACCCAGGTATTCTTGGAGTGCAATTCCCATAAACTCTGGACAGCACAACAGCTGGTAAAAGCTTCTGGGAATTGCAGTCCAAAAACATCTGCATTACTCAAGGTTGGGAACCACTGTTCTAGACTGTTGGCATGGTTTCCTTTGATTGCTGTCTCATTTCTTAGTTGCGAAGATCCAGTTTGCATAATTACTATAGAGATGAAATAATATATGTTGTGTAAGTGAGTAATTTGAAAGATTATTCTCCCCAAGCTCACTGGCATTTCAGTAAAGGAATTTAGATTAAAATCTAGTAGCTTTGCCTTTTAAATTATGGAGAATATGACACATACAAATAAATATGATGCTCTTTTGAATGATGGTCTTGCCTTACAGTATTTTATTAAACTTGTTAAACTTTAGTATAGATTAGCATCCATCAGTCCAAAAAATTATAAAGTTGTTGAACCTCTTACTGAATTTTATAAGTGCCTTCCTACACTAGCCAAACAAATATTGGTGGCTAAAGCAGAAAATCCAGATTTCCCTGATTCATGGCAATAAACTTGTAATACTAAAACTAGTACTGTTCATTTTATTTCCGTATTGGCTATACGTCATAACAGAAAATAAAATTAATAAAATAATTGGTAAAACTCATATTTTATACATTGGCCAGAATCCAGTTTGTTGTCATGTAAAGTTACACAAGCATAATTTTGCTGGGCATTATGCCCATGCAGTGCAGATTGTGCAATTTGATTGGTACATTTGTTGTGTGATTCCCATTGTGACCAGTTGTGCAGTGCACTGGCAGAAGTGCATTGTGAATAACACTTCTGCCTTGGTGCTGTTGTTGCTACTGTGGCTGTAACATTGATTTATGCCTTCAAAGCTATGCAACAGGGTTCTAGCCATTTATTAAATGGGATAATGTTGGGTCAACCAGAACTACTACTTACAACTGTCACAATATCAAATCACAAAATGAAATTCAAGAAAGGCAACAGAAAATTTAAATGAAGCTAAAATCTAATTGTGAGACAGAAGGCGAGAGGGCTACCCCACTCGCTGGAGAGCTGTCCCTCCTCCACAATTAGGATAAGGAGGTGAGACCCAGGCCAGCACCAGAGCCTACGGTGGAAGCTCAGCAAGGGGCAGAAATAGAGGAACTGTCAGAAGAGATACAGAAAGTAACAAAGGGGGAGGTTCAGGAGGAAAAGGTGGGAAAAGAGAGAAAAAAGAGGGAGTTTGAGGCAGGAACAGGGGAAGTAAAAAGGAAGGAGGAACAGTTGCGGCCAGCTTGGGAATGGGTGTGGATGGAGGATTCCTGGACAGGATTATGGGAGAGACTGTGCCCAAGGAGGGGGCAGATTATAGAAGGAGAAGAGAGATTCCACCCAGACCTCCTTATTGGGGAGAAGCCAAGGCAAAAGAATGGAGGAGGAGACTGAGAGAGGAAAAAGAGAAGGTTGAGAGAGAAAAGAGAGAAAAGCTGGAATGGAGAATAAGAGAGATGAGGAGGAAGAGTTACAGGAGGTTCCTAGGCGACGAATCCTGTGAAATGATGATCAGGATGACGAGACCGTGCCCTTGCTGGAAGGCTCGATGGGGCAGACCATAAGAGATTGGGTCCCTTCAGATCTACCGGGACCATGGAACACTAGTTGTGGAAATCCGTTACGTCTGAAGATTGGAAACCCCTTCGGGACCCGTTGGCAGAAGGAGAAAAGACTCATGATCATGTTGCGGATGCTTGTTTATTGTTAAATGCACCAATAAATCTTTCACCTGTTTTGAAACAACAAAAATCTACTGATTTCTTTGAGCCAAGCATGGAGCCAAAAGTCAAACCCTCACGGTAATAATAAACTAAATAAATGCCAACTTGCTGCCATTTGGTGATACCTTAAAATCTGCAGTCTGAAGCTGCATGTGTGTCTCTGCCTGTTGGCTGGGTTGTACAAGCTTGATAATGTTCACCTGCTCTGTTGGAAGATAGCACTTGGACTTCGATGTAACATTAAACATATTAAAATCAGCTCAACATGACAAATTAGTTTAAGTTCATAATCCTCTAGACTTTCATGTATCAAGCAGAGCATTTCCAATTTCTGAAAGAGGAGTATGAAAGTAATATAGATTCTGTTTGATATCTAATCTACAAAGTACCGTAGTTTTATTTAATTTGTTTTATATCCATATTTTATCCAGTGTAGGGACACATTTTTATTTGTCACTCTTTTCTTCCAAGATTTATGAAAAGAAACAGAATTTCTCACTTCACTTCATGTAGAAGAAAGGATGTTGTAATTATCCCCATCCAATGTTTGGGGAATTTACCGAAGAAAGTAGACAAAGCCTTCGTTATCTTTATAGTTTAATCATTTTAATGTATTTAAGGGTAAATGCTGACAACATTTTACTAATACAGATGCTGCTGCTTTAATTAGAGTGCCGTGATTATGGGTATTTTACATTGCTTGTGAAAAGAAAGCATTGAAGCAGAGTATTATTTTGTTATGGCATAGCCACTGCTTGTAATTGTCCAGCTGACAGAATGGCTTAAGTAGTGTTCTGTTAATTGCTATATAATCAGCTTCTCTTTCAGACATGAGTGTATTCCATTACTTGTATGATTGTGTGCTTAAAAATAATGTTCTTCTCATACACTTCTCCACTTCTTTGAAAGAGTTTTCTTTCTTTCTTCTTTCTTTCATTCCTT